TTTTTTTGCTATGATACCAGAACCATAGGGCAACAAAAGCCAAAGATAAGCAAGTGAAACTTAATCATATTAAAAAGCTCCTGCAGGGGCTGGGAAGGTGGCTCAGTGGTAGTATGCTTGCCTTGTATGCATGAAGCCCTGGGTTCGATTCCTCAGCACCACATAAGCAGAAAAAGCCAGAAGTGGCGCTGTAGCGCAAGTGGTAGAACGCTAGCTTTGAGCTAAAGAGCTGAGGGACAGCGCCCAGGCCCAGAGTTCAGGCCCCACAATGGACAATAAATAAAAAATTAATTAAATAAATAAATAAAATAAAATGCTCCTGCCCAGCAGCGGAAACAATCAACAAAATCAAAAGGCAGCCTGCAGAATGGTAAAAAGAAAGTCTGCAAACCCCTTATCTGATAAGGCACTACAATTTCCAAAATATGTACGGAACTCATATGACTCATTTGCAAAATAAACAAATAATCCAGTTACACAGAGGGCAAAGGGCCTGAATAGACATTTTTTCCAAAGAAGACATACAAATGGCCAACAGTTATATGAAAAATTTCTTGGCATCATTAGTAATCCAGGGAAATACCAATCAAAATTACCATAAGCTATCTTATCGTATCTGTTAGGATGGCTCAGAGAGAGAGCTCTCAGTGTTGGAGTGGATGTGGAAAAAAGGGAACTCTTGAACAATGCTTATGGAAATGTAAATTAGTGTAACCATTATGGAAAACAGTGTGGAGGTTCCTCAAAAAATTAAAAATACAGCAACCATATAACTCAGCAACACTATTATAAAGTTATCGAAAGGACTGAAATTAGCATCTAGGAGAGATGCCTGCATTCCATTGGTTTATTCACAGTAAAGATATGGAAATGGCCTAAGCCTTCATTGACAGATAAAGAAAGAAAGAAAATATGATATATGGTATACATAATGTATATATATTTAAAAATACATGCATGATACATATCTAGATAGATAGATAGATAAATAGATAGATAGATTCAATGGACTATTATTCTACCTTATCAAAAGGGAAACCCTACCATTTTCAACAATGTAGATGAAAGTTGGAGAACATTAATATTAGTAAGCGAGATAGAGAAAGGCAAGTATTGTGTGTAGAATCTATAAAGAGAAGGAGAAGGAGAAGAAAGAAAAGGGAGGAGGAGGGAGGAGAGGAGGAGGAGCCAGGGGCTGGTGGCTCACACCTGTAATCCTTGCTACTCAGGAGGCTGACATTGGAGGATCATGGTGTGAAGCCAGCCCACACAGGGAAGTCCATGGCACTCAAATCTCCCAAAAGCCAGAAGTAGAGCTCTGTTTTAAGTGGTCAAGTGCCAGCCTTGAGCACAAAACTCAGGGATGGCACCCAGGTTCTGAAGTCAAGCCCTAGGGCCAGCACAAAATAAAAATAGAAAAGATGAAACTTGTAGAAATTGATGATAGAGCAGTAGTTACCTGGAGGCTGCAGGGGTGGGGTGCCGATTGGGAGCTATTGGTTGGCTAGGGGATAAGTATATCCTGGGACCTAGTGTAGAATGTCACACTGTCATTTACAACATTGTGGACGTGAAACATGCTATGGGGACAGATGTCAGATGTCCTCATCATGCCCACATGCATACTAACAGCAATGAGGGCAGTGTGTGTGTGTGTGTGTGTGTGTGTGTGTGTGCGTGTGTCTGTTCATTCATGTGACTGTGCTGTTCATTCATGTGACATGTGTTTGTTAACCACCTGACATGGTATCTCTTAAAGATACACATTTTTTGATGAAATGTATCTCAGTCTGGCTGAAATGCTTGTATATTGAATGATAAGATAATCATGTTGAGGGAGAAACACAAAGGAGTGGGTAACAATGCCCAACAAGAAATGTACCCATTACCTTAGTGATGTAACTGTAACCTCTCTGTACAGCATTTTTACAAGAAAAAAATTTAAATCACAAAAACTATAATCATGAAAAATGAAGAGTAAAGACAGGTGGTTGTTAGTAGCATCAGACATATGTAGCGCAGGACACAACAGTCAAGTGTCATGTCTTTTTAAGTGGGTACCATTTAGAGAAGACCTCAGTGATGAAATGTCATGTGGGTCATCTCAGAAATAGGCGAGCAAGCTTTATAAACTGAAAAGTGTTACAGATTTTTTTGGGGGGAGGTAGCGATCTTGGGACTTGAACTCAGGGTCTAGGCACTACTCCTGAGATTTTTGTGCTCAAGGTTAGCATGCTACAACTTGCAAAACAATTCCACTTCCATGTTACAGAATATTTATTATTATCATTACTACTACTATTACTATTACTATTGATGATATTACTCCCCGTAAGGGTACTCTGCAATATACATTTCAGACTTCTCTTTCATCCACAGTTATGTCTGTTATACACTGAATTTTGATACTCCAGAACACAGATTGAAGTCCTCACTTTTGACATTCCTTTGTTTGTTTGTTTTTTTTGGTGGGGGGGGGGATTGGGTAGTACCAGGACTTGAAATCAGGGCCTCAAACTCTTGTTGTGGCTTACTTGATTATGGCTGGAGCTCTACTACTTGAGACATGCCTTTAGCCCAACTTTTCACTACTCATTTTGGAGATGGAGTCTCTTAGACTTTTCTTCTCGGGCTAGCTTCAAACTGTCATCCTCTGATCTCAATGTCTTAAGTAGCTAGGATTATAGACATGCACCATCAGTGCCTGGCTATTTGTTGCCATAACTTGTATTTGGAATTAAATCTGTTTTATTGATTGCATCTTTTTAGATGGTTATTTTTTGGTGTTTTTTTTTTTTTGAACTCTGGGCCTGGGCACTGTCCCTCAGCTCTTCAGCTCAAGGCTAGTGCTCTACCACTTGAGCCATAGTGCCACTTCCGGCTTTTTTCTTTTTGCTTATGTGGTGCTGAGGAATCGAACCCAGGGCCTCAGGCATGCAAGGCAAGCACTCTACCACTGAGCCATCTTCCCAGCCCCTTTTTTTTTTTTTTTGGGTCCGGTCGTGGGGCCTGAACTCTGGGCCTGGGCGCTGTCCCTCAGCTCTTCAGCTCAAGGCTAGCGCTCTACCATCTGAGCCACAGCACCACTTCCACTTTTTTCTTTTTGCTTATGTGGTGCTGAGGAATCGAACTCAGGGCCTCGAGCATGCAAGGCAAGCGCTCTACCACTGAGCCACCTTCCCAGCCCTAGATGGTTATTTTTTGACATATGAAAAGGCACTGATTTTTATTTGTATCATATGAAAGGCACTGATTTTTATTTGTATCATATGAAAGCAATTTCACTTTTTTAAAATACTTTAAGAATGTTCTCTTATTTTTCCAGTAATATTTCTCATAGTTTTATTTCATATCTTATTGGCTTGATCATCCAGGAAAACCTTAATTCTAATGGTACTGGGGATGTTTCCATGTGAAACATGGTTTACTGCTGACATGAGATTATAGTCTTTGTACGTTGAGGAAAAAGACTTTTTTTTCCAGAAGTTTGTCATCAGAAACTGAGTACCAGTGGCTCACATCTGTTATCCTAGCTACTCAGGAGGCTGAGATCTGAGGATATTGGGAAGACAGACCCATGAGAGACTCTTATGTCCAATTAATCAGCAAAATGAGCAGAAACAGAGGACCTGGCTCAAATGGTAAAGCACCAGCTGTGAGTGAAAAAACTGAGCAAGAACACAGGCTTGAGTTCCTTCAATCCTCAGCATTGGCACTCACAAAAAAGTTTTTCATCAGCTATGAATTTGATAACATTAGAGGAGCATTTTCCACATTTACTAAATGCTATTTTTTAATTGAATTACTTGAGTATCCTGTTATAATTTCCTGATATAAGCTGTCTCTGAAATAAAACAGAATAATCTGTATTTGGTGATTATAAATGATTATCATAATAACATAATGTTGGATTTGATTTGATAGCTACTGATCTTATCTTACTCTAAATATTTTATGTAAAAACTTATCTGAAGGTTTGAACTTGCTAAGTGAAATGAACCCCGAGATATGGACACAAAAGGTCTCCTCCTAGCTTTCTCCTTCATCCACCTGTTTTTCTGAACTTCACACAGACTCAATTCAGTTTCACACCTATTCTTTGATCTTCCCAGCACCAGGCTGAGTTTGTTTACATATCCTCTTAATCCTGTGCAGTTACTGAAGGTCAAATGGGAAAAAAAACTAAGTACATCCACAAGGAAAGTGCATTTTGAGGGGAAAAAAAAAACAAAGAATGAGCAATTAGACACAAATATGTAATTGCAGGGTGTAATATGTAAACGTATGATCTGAGGATATAGCTCAGTGGTAGAGCACTTAACTAGCATACAAACCATCCTAGGTTCCAGACTCTCCATGAAAACAAACAAACAAACAACAACAACAACAAAAACAATGGAGTAGAGACAAATTAGGATCAGAGAGGGATAGGAGGGAGCCATTACGGGTGAGCTGGTCAGAAAGGTGACTCTGGAAGGTGCAAAGAAGGAGCCAGAGAGATCTGGGAGCCAGTATTCCAGACAGAGGAACAGCACTAGTACCCTGGCCTGCATACCTGAACACACCTGGCCATGCAGGAAGGAACTTTAACCACGCCCCTCGGTGTGGGTCACCATTTCCTGACTCAGAGCTGAGGACAGACATGGCTGAGGGGCTGCTCCTGGCCCACAGCTCCCACTGTGGCATGCAAAGGGAGGAAGGAGGGACAATCTGTCCTCTCACTTGCTTCAGTGCTAAGACCCTGGGCACACCCCATTAGCAACCCCTTTACAAAGGGAGTGAGCTGCCTGACATCTGTGTTCACCCAGTTTGTCTCCTTTGACTTCCTAGTATGCTTTTTTTATATTCATGGTCTAAACAATAAAACCAAGTTCCAGCTAATATTTTGCAACCAAACCCCACAGAGCCAGAAATGCATCCACCCACTTCCCAAAGGACAGCAACACAACACGAGGAGGCTTCATTTCTTATGTGCAGCTCAAGTGCATGATTTCTACACGATGACCATTCGTCTAATGCCTTTGGATCCCATTGCAATGTTATGAAAGCTTTGGACCCAACTATAAAATTAACCACCATCACTTGCCCTATATAACAAAAATAAGGTGGAAAAGAAACAGAAGGGACATTCACAAACTCAAAAGCCTGTAAGTATATGTACATTTTTGGTTGAGATGTACATTAAAGTACGCAAAAAAAGTAATATTTGTCATTTCTATTCTAACATTTTTTAAGAAAAAACAGTAGATTGGAAAAGCACAACAGAACTGAAATGACCAACCATCAACATTTCAAATCAGATTTGATTAAATAAAGCTGGATTTTAAATTTAATTATCCGCAGCTTTGAATATGAATGTTGGCTTGTACTAAATAACAAATTAAGAAGGACTGGGAGGTATGGCTCAAGTGGTAGAGCATGTGCCCAGCATGCTCAAGGTTCAGTCCCCAGAACTACAAAAAGCCAAAACCAAATACTTAACAGAAACACACACACACTAAACTGACTAACAGAAGTTGCAATAACAACAAATGCTTTCCTTTAGCTATTTCATGTAGCTCAGGCTTGGACTTAAACTCCAGAGCCCCCTGACTTTGCCTTGCAAGTGTTGGGATTATAAACCATGAACTGGCTGGGCACTGGTGGCTCATGCCTGTAATCCTAGCTACTCAGGAGGCTGAGATCTGAGGATCGCGGTCCAAAGCCAGCCCGGGCAGGAAAGACCGTGAGACTCCTATCTCCAATAAACCACCAGAAAACCGGAAGTGGCGCTGTAGCTCAAGTGGTAGAGCGCTTGCCTTGAGCTGAAGAGCTGAGGGACAGCACTCAGGCCCAGAGTTCAAGCCCCACGACCGACAAAAGATAAATAAATAAAATAAACCATGAACTGCCTACCACACCCAACTATTTCATTTTTTAAAACAAAAATGTCTTTGAGGTAAAAATATGTTTAAGTCTAAAACAGCAGCCTATAAAACATTACAAACAGATGGGCACTGGTGGCTCATGCCTGTAATCCTAGCTTCTTAGGAGTCTGAGATCTGAGGATAAGGGTTCAAAGCCAGCCTGGGCAGAAAAGTCTGTAAGACTCTTATCTACGTTTAATCACCAGAAAACTCAAAGTGGCTCTATAGCTCAAAGTGATAGAGCACTAGCCTTGAGCAAAAGAACTCAGGGACAACACCCAGGCCCTGAGTTGCTGAGATTTCAGGCATGTGCCACCCTGCCCACACCTGGGTCTATTTTCTAAAGTAACTGAGCATTTGTCATTTCTACTAGCAGTATGTGGGATTCTCTATGTCTTTGTTTTTTAATCTCATTGTGGGTTAAACTCACATATTTGTAATATACTAATATCTTTTGCATATATGAACATTGGTACATTTTCTTTGGTGAAATGTCTATTCATGTAGTTTAATCACCATTAAATTGGGTAACTATGGAGTAAGGGCACTAACCCTTTATCACGCCCCATGTCTGCAAGTAGACTGTTACCCATCACTTGGAAACAGGTAAAGTGGCCCATGTGGAGTTCCAATGTTGATCCTCAGTAAGTTTGAGGTTTTGGAGCATTTCAGAGTTTCAGAGCAGGGATGTGCACTCTGCCTGTTATATTCATGAGTCCACTTGTAGGGTCAAACCCTGTTTGAGTTCCTCCTTTCCCAATTATAGCCAAGCTGTTTAGTGTCTCAACCACAAGTAGTCCTTTTGTAAGATGCTAATAATGATAATGAAGCTGGCTAGCCCAACACAAACCAAATCTTCCTTCAATCAATGGCAATCTCTTGGCTATTGTACTTACCAAGGCTATCTGTTAGGTTTTTAAAAAGAGGCAGCCGAGTAAGAACTGCACCACGCACGTGGTATTCAGGTAAGGGGCAGATTTATTCAGTAGACCTGCTGGGACCAGGCAAGGTTGGCACTCCACGCGGCTGGCAAAAGAGTCCGTCTAGCCCCAGATTAGGCCTTATATAGGGTAGGGGGGCGGGGAAGGGTGTGTCCAGGTAAAGGGAAGCGGGATCAGGTGGGAGAAAGGTGTGGCCACCTCAGGTTAAGATGTGACCGCAGCGGATGCGGATGTGACCTCTTCCATGTGTCCCAGTTGCCTAGGTAACGCAGGTACTGGGTGAGGTCTGTTCGCCGTCCAGGAATGGACCTTACGCTATCCTTAATAATTATTTAGGATGTAGCTAGAATCTCCCTAGCTTGGGGCAGTAGAGAGGAGGAGTGAGCCCGCTGGCCAATTCCCTTAACTCCTTAGATTCCACCCACCGATGCCTAGGAAGGCCCTACCTTATCTTGTAGGCTCGGTTAACCGTTAATCAGTATTTAATCAGCGTTCTCTGTCACTAGTCTCTCATAAAAAAGAGACCCATAATAATTAGCAGAGATAAGGTGGGGTTTGTTAGTAGAAGGCTGGTTGGTTCTTCCTCCCTTTTCTACCTCCATTGAAGCCAATTCCAAGCCCACTACGAAACAAGCTACCAAATCCCATCTGCTTGAGCTGCTGCAGAATGATGTATGGCCCTTGGGGTGGTAGTGAATTGAAACTCTTCCCAGAGTCACAGGCTCTGCCTGAGAAAAGGCCCAATTTTTACCTGTCATGAATTCTCATCTCTCTGGGCCATCTGTTTCCAGATCTTTGAAAAGCAGTGCTTCCAAAGTAGAAAACCAGAGGCCCTTCTTTCATGTTTGATCTAGGAGCCCTAGGAAGATGTCACACCAGAATAATCACACCTCAGGTTTTGCTGGGATGGGGATGGGGGAGGGACTGGAATTTCCTAAGGACTTCTAGAATAAAGAGCAAATGTATGTCTTGGGGCAGTCGGTTAAATGATGAGTCCCATAGGCGACAGAACAGAGTTTCCCCAAAATGTTTCTTAGTATTCCCTCCACACGTATTTACAGTACAGCAGGAAGAACTATAATATCCATCGGTGTCTCATGCAAAGGCATGAAGGAATTGACATCAAAATTCCATCACACAGGACAAATACAGAAAAGGAGGAGAGGAGAAGTATCCTTACAAATGGAACGGTAGCACTGGAGTCTCGCGCCTGTAATCCCAACTACTCAGGAGGCTGAAATCTGAGGATGGCAGTTCAAAGCCAGCTGGGGCAGAAAAATCCATGAGACTTTTATCCCCATTTTCTTTTGCAGCAGCAGCAACAACAACAACAAATAAAAACAAAAACAAAAAACCAGCAGTGGAAGTGCCAGCCTTGAACAAAAATGCTAAGGGACAGTGGCCGAGGCCCTGAGCTCAAGTCCCAAGACAGACAGACAGACACACACACACACACACACAAACACGCACACTCCATATATCCCAAAGATCCAGACTGATAGAAGGAAATGACATAAAAGCTAAACTATAGAAGAGTCCAAAAAAAAAGTAATAAAGAATATCAATATGGGGCCTAAATTTTTTGGACATAAATGTCCCAATATCTTACAAAACAGGGAAGGAAATTCACTAATGGGCTGCATGACAAGAAAGCAGTCTAGGCTATGTGCCTGGATGTTTCTCAAGATATCAGGGGTCTCATTTTAAGAATGAAAGCTCACTCAGGGTCCTTACTGCTCCCTGGGCACGCGGTGAATCTGCCAGGACAAGGAAAGCACTGTGAGTCCCTGCTTTACAGTTACAGCTGCCAGAGACAGAAGTGAAGTCACTAGTGTGGGACTGCACTCAGAGTAAGTGACAGAACTAGGATTTGTACACAGTGACCTTTGATCCCCAGAGCTCAGGACAGCAGTCACACACTCGGCCCTGCCCCCAGATTCTGGCTCCTTTTCCCTCAACACAATGTCATCTCTTTTTATAGAAATTCTTGTGCTTTGTATCAGAATGCCTAACTTGAATCGAACTGCCTTGAAAATATTGAGATGTCCAGATTTAGAGCTCTCTTCCTGGCATCAATGCTCCAACTGGAAACAACTCCAGGGTCACTATGTAGATTACAATACAGGCATGCCTATGGAGGTATTGATCAGTATCTTCTTTTTTCTTATCAACAGGAAGTTCATTAAGAATTACTGGGGGAATGGGTCTCTGCCTGGCTTCCTCCACAAAGGTAAGATCAAGTTAGATAATAATATATCACCATATAATTGTTTTTTTTTTTTTAGTTTCATTGGGAATGTGGGGTGGGGGTGGGAGTGGGGCTGTCTTTTTTTAAGGTTTAGAAAATAAAACTTTTGTTTGTTTGTTTTTTGTTTTACCTTCTTTCAACTTTCTCACAAGTGATTATTTACCCTAACTCATTCAGGCCTCTCTTCCCCTTCTAGGTCAATGTCAGTAACAAGAATAGCATCCCAACAGCTAGTTCACCATTCCTGTTATTATTAGTGATTCAACACTAATAGTAATGATTCACTGATGATAGTTATGACCTGAAAGATATTTATTCTCATGTGTTATAATCTAATTCTGGGACTTCAGAAAATATGATGATGTATACATATATAAAGTTTCCAACCCCTGCATCTGAACTCAGTAAATTAGGCCTTCATAGTTGATCTTTCCAATCACTTTCTCATTCCATCCTCACACTGATGTCCAGTGCCTTCACAGATGTGGTATTGGATCCAGTTTTCCTCTTATTCACATTGTGAGTAGCTGCACAATGTCTTTAGCTAAAATAACTACTCAATCTTCCTCACATGCACCACACATGTTTTTAACCCTGGACCTTTGTCCATATTATTTCTTCTGCTAGAATTACTTTTTCTCTTCATCTCTGAGTTTCTAAATCTTAAAGTTCCACAGACTTAACACAAATGTCTCCACTACCTTGACAATTTACCCTTTTTCTCTCCTACCCCTAGCAAGCCTGGAAACAATTTTTCCTCTTGATTTCTCAAGATATTCCTCTGTTCCTTCCTCTGTTCTAATTTAAGCACATTCTGAGCAAATGGTACTAAACTCAGTTATCTAAAACTACTATTATGATTATACCTTCTCATGCTCTGCGTCAAAACTTTTATCAGCTCACAGCAAGGCGGGCTCAACGTTGTTTTGTGACCTCAGGAGCCACAGCTATTCTCTTACTCATGATTGTGCTTCCTCCCAGCATGGCATCCTGTGGTAGGGTAGGGAAAGGCAGAGAACAGGGTTAGTAGGATTTTTTTACATAGCATTTCAGGGTTCCAACAGACTCACATGCAGGTTACTGGGTCCCTTCGAAGTTGAGGCTGGGCCTGGACAGATGAGGCATTATTTCAGCCTTGCTTATTGCCTAAAGCAGGCACATGCCAGATTCTAGAGAAGGAAGAATAGACCACTGTCCTTCCACAGGAAGGGTATCAAAAAGAATTAGAGGTCACATTCCCCCCTCCCCATTTTTGTGGCTTGAACTCAGGGCTTAGGCACTGTCCCTGAACCTCTTTGTGCTCAAGGTTAGCACTCAACACATTGCCACTTCCAGCTTTTCTTGCATAGTTTATTGGAGATCAGCATCTCACGGACTTTTCTGCCCAGGCTGCCTCCAATCAGCAATCCTCAGATCTCAGGCTCTTGAGTAACTAGGATTACAGATGTGAGCCACAGGTGCCCAGGTTACAGGTCATCTTTTTAAATGCCACAATACATTTTCTATCTACTAGATGCACATCTGCTCTTTTTTCCGGGATGTGGGTCATTTAGTAGCTTCCATGATGCTGGACAGAATAGATGTTCAGTCGTTTTTTTTGTAGTATTAATAATCAGATATGTTGGATAAATTGTTTTTGCCAAAGGCAACCATACGTAACTATACATTCTATAGAGTAAAAAAAAAAACTATGGGGAGGGATAGAATTCTATATTATCTATTTTAGGTCAGTGGAGAGATTTTAAAGATTCTCATGTGTAATATAGATAACTTGGGTAGTAAAATGTAGACTGTGAGCTGGACTCCTATAGTACTTATGACAGGAATTATGGGTAATCAATTTGGAGTTGTATTGAGTCAATCTTTCTAATTGGATTCCCATAAAGTACCTGCACTCTGTCAGACTCTAGCTCGTGGGTTTGTTGCCCATAAGCCCATTTCATATCTATTTTCAGTGCTGCTTAATAGTATCTTTTGCTGAGTTAATCAAAATCCAAATCTATAATAAATGATAAAGGGCTTGGCATGAAATTGGCTTCAATCATTTCTCTGCTCTGGAGTTACATAGCATCAGCTTTTAGAAATTAAAAACCTTGTCATCTATATTATTATAATTAACTTTAAATTAAATCCTTTCCAATTTTATCCATAACTATATCATTAAAAAAAAACACCACAAACTAGTTTTCTTTTTGTGAAAAGAGATTGAAAAGGTCTTTCAGAGATGTGAAAGAATACACTTAATAGTCATCTTGAGGTAATAATCATACTAATTGGCAATTACAGTTTTATAAGAAGTTCTTAGAAGATAACATGACAAATAAGAAAAGCATGGACTTGTGAGAAAGCCCTTGGAGACTCAATCCTGGCTTAATAGAGAATATTTTCATTATCTCCAGCTTTCTGTCTTCTCATCTCCGCACCAGAACTGATCAGATCTAACCCCAGTGGTTAGTGAAAGGTGGATTAAGTAAACAATGCTCATGTATGGCCCATACAGAATGCTATAAAAATTACATTATGATTTTTATTGTTTAATGATCTTTTTGGGTGGTATTGAGGATTGAACTCAGAATCTTGCAATTATGCTCTAATATTAGAGCCATGCCCGCAAGTCCTTTTGCTTTTGGTTTTGTTATTGTTGTTACTAATGTTGTTTCCTAGATAGGGTCTTGCTAACCTTTTGTCTGGCTGGCCTCTAGCCACAATCCTCCTACCTATGTCTCCAGAATAGCTGGGATTATAGGAATGCAAGAGGTCTTCAGGCCATTGCCTAGAAAAGAGATTGTGGGACCTCAGCCCATTGGGTACTTTTTGTTCAGCACTCCCCACTGATGAAGGGAGCAGTTTTTGCTCCATCATGGACCCCCACATCATGTGCTACCTCAACACAAGCCAGAAGTGATCATGAACTGGAGTCTCCCAAAATGCAGGCCAAAGTAAACCTTTTCTCTTTATAAGTTAATTATCCCCAGCTGTCCAAAACAGTGGTGGAAACGTGGCTAATGTGGAGGCAAAGCTTGTGTGTCCAAGAAGAGGAGAACCATCTACTGATGGTGGCCTGAAACCAAAGAGCAGAGAAAAGCCTGTCTCCACTGTCCACCCTCCGCTGCTCTGCAGTCAGAGGCGCAAGAGCCCTGAACTGCAAGCCTTGGTGAGGGAATCCTTTGGAAGCCCTCTCTCATGATCATATCAATTCCCTAGACTTTCCTGTCCCTGCTCCCTCTTATCCAAGTCATGTTGAATAGTTCATAAAAGATGGGGCACCGAGGAATAGATCTCTCATGCTTCAGTCACAGCTCTCATGGGTAAGGCAGTGGGAAGGGGAGGTTGAAGGGTTCTTTCAGTTATTCTGAGAAAAGACTTTTTCAACCTTGTGCCTGTGGATTAGTCAGCCTGAGGGCATTGCCAGAAGGTTAATGCTGAGATATGTGGACTTTAGGCAGCTCCCATCTGGACCCTCCCCACTGCCCCCCCCAACACACACACACTTCATTACCAGCAGTTTCTTTTATATCTCTGATCCTTGGCAGCCTCATTGTAAAACACAGAAAACAGAGCAGACTTCATTGGCTACCTCTGAGTATGTACTCAGTCTTCATAGCTTACTTTCTATTTTTCCAGTGATAATAGCACTTAAAAATTTTAAATTCCTGATTCTTTGTGGGTATGATGGTGCATATCTGTAACTGCAGCACTTGGGAGTCTGAAGCAGGAGGATTGCAAGTTCAAGACCAGCTTGAGTTATATAACATGACTCTGTCTCCAAAAGAAGAAGGGAGAGGAGAGGTGGAGGAGGGAGAGAGAAAGAGCAAACAATCCAGGCACTGGTGGCTTATGCCTAGCTACTTTGGAGGCTGAGATCTGAGGATTGCATTCAAAGCCAACTGGGCAGGAAGGTCCAGGAGACACTTATCTCCAATTAACCACTCCAAGGTGGTAGAATGCTAGCCTTGAGCAAAAGAGCTCTGGGACCTGAGTTCAAGCCCCACAACAAACAAAAAAGGAAAAAGAAAAAAGAAGGGAAGGAGGGGGAGGATAGAGGAGGCAAGGGAAAGAGGGGGGAGAGGGCAGGGGAGGAAAAGGGGGAGAGGAAAGAGGGGTGCTGACTCCAGATCTGAGGGGAGGGCATTACGACAAAGAGATCAACTAGGTCCCAGCACAGTGACCCAGAGAACAACAGAGAGACAGCAGTCATAAGTGAACGATATGAGAGCCCAGAGTAACCACACCTCACAGGACATGGGGCACTTCTTGTCATTTATTCATATGGTGCCTCATGGTATGGATAATATGCTTTCACACAAGGAACAGACAGTTAGGCCTCTACTTTATTATTGTAATAGACAAAATTCCACACACACCCCTCCTTAAACATCTGCGTCCATGAAATCTCACAGCCGTGGTTGGACAACTAGAATGGGATCCAAATCTCAGCTCTGCTTCTCATGGGCTGGGTGACCTCAGGCAAGTTACTTAACTTCTCAGTAGTGCATTTTCCACTTTTGTGAAATGGTCTCCTCCTCATCCTCTCTAGCCTTTCTGTGCAGATTCTATGAGATAACACACGTAAAGTTGTGGTTAGCAGCTGCTATTGTTAATTCTTAGTCAAACTACTCCCGGAGTCTGAAGACTCAGCCCTACCCCGGGAGATCCAGATATAGCACTTCAGGGCGGGGCATAGGAATTAGCCTAGAGGTGAGTGAGCCACACAGTTGAGAAATACTGCCCCAGGAAGACAGGTGTGAGACCATCTGCCCGGGCAATGTGACCTTGCCCTAAGCATTGGTTATCAGTAGCTGTGTATCACTGAGTGGGTAGCTAGTAGAGATGGGAGGGTTGTTTTTTTTTTCCTTTGCAAACAAGCCCAAGCCTGAGGTAGAGCCAAGTAGAGCAGACTCAAACCCACCCCAAATTGTATTACAAACTATCTTGTGATATACTAGAGCCTGTGCAGATTAAGTTATCTGTTAAAAATCAATTATCTTCCTTGTTCTTTTTCTTTTTTCTTTCTCTCTTTCCCCTTCTTTTCTTCTTTTTCCTTCCTTCCTTCCTTCCTTTCTTCCTTCCTTCCTTGTTTGCTTCCTTTCTTTCTCTACTGGGTCTTACTATATACACAGGCTAGCCTTGAACTTTCAGTCCTCCTGTCTCAGCCTCCCTAGTGCTGGAATCTATCACAGCCTATTCCACCACCAGGTTCAGATGAAAATCATATCTGTACCAAACACATATGTCACAACCAATGTTGTCATCATTCCCTAAGCAGTATAATAACCACTTACATTGTATATTAAAAAATACTTTCCTATAGTACCAGACATTGAACTCCAAGCTTCTGATTGCTGGAAAGGTCAATCATAGAGTTTGTGTCTTTTGTTTTCTACTTCTCTCTCTCCCTCATTGGTCAGAGCTAAGAGGGCCAGGAAGGTTGGAGACTGAGGCACATTAGGTTTGAGGCACGTAGGGCGTGGTAGGGATAGTGGTAAGCCAGAGTACACTGGCTGCATCTACAATCTACATGGCTAGTGGCAATTCTCCAGCCAATTGTTACCACACAAGAATGCAGACCAAGAGTGGCTAGATATTCCTGTTTTCCAAAAGAAGCCAGATCTCCAGATTTTTGTGTGTGTGCAATATATTCCCATTAACGAATGTTGGCAAGTAATTCCTTTTTTTTTTAAACCCCATGTGGGCCAAACAAAACACATCTGCTGGCCGGATCTAGCCTGTGGGTGGGCCTCCAATTTGCAAACTCTGGTCTAGACTGAATGATTCCAGCTAGGAGGGGGGAATCTACATTTCCCCACCCCCCACACCTTTCCCCATTCCCCCCTCCTCCCCACCACCACTTTCCTCAAGGGTTGGTAGAAGGACAGAGTCTAACCTAAAGCAGTGTTTCTTAGCCAGAGCTGCACATTTGAATTGCCTGGTGAAAGAGAGATTCTGTTCAGGTGTTCAGTCTCCATATTTAGGATCCAGGACTGGCCAGGTCCCGGGAGTCAAGGTTTAGCTCCTTTGTACTCCATGAAAGAGATGCTTTTGGATAGAGTATGCCCCAACTGAAGAAAGTGCCAGGCTGGAACCTGTATTGACTGTCAAAGTGTTTGTTTTCTTTGATTTCCCCTGCCTGTGGGGAGCAGTCAGGCAAACAGGACGAGTTTCACAGCCTAGTACAATTTCATAAATTGGAGGTCAAGGTCATGGTTTGGGTGCAGGGCTCTTTGACTTTCCAACCCCCTCCACTGGTATCCACATAGACAGGACTATGTGGCCAGACTTAAACCTAGGTGGGAGCCCCCAGGAGATGGCCAGCACCCAGAGGAGCATGCCAGGACATCTCAGCTCCAGATTCAAGGTGGGGTGGGGTGGGGGTGGGGGGTCCAGTCGTGGGCCTGAACTCTGGGCCTGGGCACTGTCCCTCAGCTCTTCAGCTCAAGGCCAGCACTCTACCACTTGAGCCACAGTGACACTTCCAGCTCTTTTTTTTTCCTGCTTATGTGATGCTGAGGAATCAAACCCAGGGCCTCATGCATGTGAGGCAAACATTCTACCACTGAGCCACCTTCCCAGCCCAGTGATTATGTTTTTTAAATAATAAATAAAAATAAATTACTTTTTAACATCTCTGATGTTTAGTTCAGTGTTTGACCCATGATGGATTATAAATGCATGTCGGAGAAAGAGAGGGACAGACTGATGAGCAGAGAGAGAGAGAGAGAAAGAATATGGCTATCTTTATGGCATTACTGGCTGTTGAAGCAATTTTTACTTTTCTCACTCCCCGTGAACAAATGGGGGGTCTGTATGGGAACTGAGTCTGCTAAACTTACTTTCATATTTGCTGCTGTTCTTTCCAGCAAGTTCCTGAGCTGCCAGGGTGGTTTCATACAAAGGCTTCCCTCACGTGTGTTAATTGGCCCTTCACACACAGGAAGACACCAGGAGGTTTTATGGTGTGTGGAGGTTTTTTGAACCAAGAACCACATTCCTGGTTTTCCCTGCACCCCCTTATTTTCTCTTTGAAGTCAACAGGGGGCCTGTTCAGGGTGTCCAGCTAGAACCAAGCGTCTGGTCTATGTAAATTGTTAGGAAAACATATTAAACTGCTAGAGAGAGATTGAGTTACTCCAAGAAAATACATTTGAATCAGAAAGAACTGTAGTCAGAACCATCGAAAGAGGATCCTGGGGTCAGAGGAATAAAAGAAAAAAGAAAAGAAAAGAAAAATGGCTTTTAAAATTTCAATTAATGCCTTCCGTTGTCTTGGAGGAAATACGGACTCATTGTCCCTGACATATTTAAAATACGAATTGCCAATTAACGATCCCATTGGCAAATTGCTCTACAATTAAAAACATAGAAATGTTGTTAGCAGCAATTAGAATAATTGTCATATGTTAATTATGGGTTGATGGATTTTGCATGTTGCCAGCAGTTTCCTTCTGGGCCATTCTGAACAGAATCCAAACCCATAAAGACATTGATATAATAAAAGCTGTCTTCTTTGTTGGCGTGTCTGCTGGATTCTTAATGTCTTTTAAGGTATGTAATTATTTTTAATTAGGTTTCCAGGAGAAAATTTCTTAATACATGTTTTAGTAGGTCATCCTTAGAGAACCTTGCGGCCAATTTGAGAGCGGAATAGACAGAATCAGGTAAACTTCAATGTAGATAAGTATTTACTAGCTGGAATACATTAGGAAACGGGCTTAGCTCAAAGTAAAAAGGGGAAACTATCTTCCAAGGTTGCTGGGAGGGTTGTGTGAGGTCACGTTTATCTTACAGCATTGTATATGTTGCAGAGTAGATGCTCTGTAAAAGTGGCTATTGTGGGCTGGAGACATAATTCAAGTGGTTGAGCACGTGCCTTCCAAGCGTGAAGCCCTGGGTTCAGTCCTCAATGGCCATACAAACAATAGTCACAATAAGTTGTTGGGTTTTCGTGGTTTTTTGTAGTTGTTATTTTATGCTAGTAGTGGGGCTTGAACTCAGGACTAGGAGCTGTTGCTTAGCTTTTCACTTAAGGCTAATGCTTTGCCACTTAAGTTACAGCTCTAAGTCTGCCTTTTTACTGGTTAATTTTAGATAAGAGTCTCACAGACTTTCCTCCCTGGCTGACTTCAAGATACCACCCTCAGATCTCAGCCTCCTCAG